TTAATGTTGTTGTTGTTGTGTTGTTGCTGGCGATGATGTCATGCAGTTCGTGAGGATGTCAATGTAGTTGATGATTTGATGTTTTCGGAGAAGATGCTCTGAACGTTGTCAATAATAGCGATGTTGCACTGCGACTTAAATAGCAGCAAAAACTGCTTTGAAGCTTCTACAGATAATGACAAACGGTTTGAAAATAATTGCATTCACTTTATTTTGCAACTTTGGATAAAATAACCACAAACAAACACCCATGCTCACGCACACAAACAAACACCACATACTCACGCACACATACAAACTACGCAGTCATCCCAGAGAGAGAGAGAGAGAGAGAGAGAGAGAGAGAGAGAGAGAGAGAGAGAGAGAGAGAGAGAGAGAGAGAGAGAGAGAGAGAGAGAGAGAGAGAGAGAGAGAGAGAGAAAGAGAGAGAGAGAGAGAAAGAGAGAAAAAGAGAGAGAGAGAAAGAAAGAGAGAGAGAGAAAGAGAGAGAAAAAGAGAGAGAGACACGCAACGAAACGGAACAATATTTAATTTAAAATAAATGTTCCACAGTTAGCCAAAGTAAAATTTCAAAAAAAAACCTCCTAGTCTGGCCACCCAAAAAAGTTATAATAAAACCATAAAAACATCATGAATCATACCTTATCTTGCTTCTTTATAACTTCTTTCCCGCCTTTTTTCTTGCCTAGCATAGAGGAAACAGCGGATGGCACGAGGGTTTTTGTTTCAGGAGGGGGTTCCAACAATTTGGCACTTTTCTCCATGACATGGATGTGGCTGCGAATCAAGCGCTCCATGGCGCGGACTGTTGAAGATAAGGAAGCTGCCGACACCTGCTCGCTCATGGCTGCTCGCTTCTGTCGTTGTGGATATTTTAAAATCTGACAGAAGTTACTGTGCGGTTTCTCCAAGAAGTTAATTTACTTTCAGCAAAATTTTATTACTGAGGAAAATAATTAAATTAAATTATGAAGTCTACTGTGCAGTTGGCTATTTTTTGTGTTTTTCGAGGTGTTATAGCTCAAATAATCTTTATCTCGTCGTTGTTTTGTTGTTTTAATCAATCATTCTACTGCTATTATACATAGTTTATTTTCATGTTGTTGTATATTGCATTCTGTTGAATTTCTGCAAAGAGAAATTATATTTAATTAATAGAAAAGTTAATTTTTCAATTCAAATAATATCTTGAAAGATTTCAAATGAAAAATGAATCCTTATTAGCAATAACGACAAAGAGTAGAAACAACAACATAAACATAAACAAGTCATAAACATTGTTTAAAATAAACTTACTAAGATGGCAAACAATTCAAATAGAAGAATGAAATAACGCCAACAAACGTTTTAATATTTGAATAAATAATATTTTATTATCTTGAAAATAATTTCCATCTTTTGTTGAGAAAATGTTTGAATTTTAAATAAATGATTTAAATGGATTAAATCTTAGGATATACAATTGATGGATAACAAACAGATTTAATTATATACCAAAGAATAATTAATCTATGAAAACTATTATTATTATAATTAATTACTTTATAAATTAATTACAACAAATTTAAATTTTTTAATAAAATTTTTTTTTGGAAAAATCAAATATTGACGATGATGATAACAAGCGAATAGAAGCTACATGGAATGGCTAACCACTTGCCTTATTTGAATGACAATGAATAAGGTAACAATGACGACGCCGATGATGAAGATGATGATGACGAAGCTGACGACGACGATGATGATGTTTGTAATGATTATGATGACGAATTATTTCAAACTGCACACACAGATGATATTACCGTTCATATTTTTGTGACTCTGTGTTTACCTGTACCATCATCGTCGTCGTCGTCATCATCTTCATCATCATCATCACCACTACCATCATCATCATCATCTTCATCATCATCTTCGTCATCATCATCACCACTACCATCATCATTATCTTCATCATCATCATCATCATCATCATCATCATCATCATCATCATCATCATCATCATCATCGTTGTCAAAGCGAGTGGTGTTCAAAGAAATGGAAAGAAGTTAGATGTTTGATCATCATCATCTTCATTGTCATCATTATCATCATTTTTTTATTTATATTATTTTGTATTAGTAGCAGCAGTATTAGTAATAGCTGCAATAGTAGTAGCAACACTAGCATACATTTATATATACATACATGCTTTTTGTTTCAGCTTTTGTCAGGTTTGATTTTTTCAAACTTTCCTGTAAATGTATGTGTGTAGGTGTATGCAAATGTAAGTATATAAATGTATATTGTATGAGTGTAATGTGTGGTGCATGTGTGTTTGTATACTTATATGGTGTGTGTGTGTGTTTATATGGTTTTTAGAGATTAAACTATATTTTGGTGGGTTGTTGTTACGGAATGGTAGTCAGACAGACAGACAGACAGACAGGCATTCATCCAATGTGTGAAAATTAAATGTGAAATATGTAACAGCAGCATTACTACCAGTGCTAACATTAGCTACAGTAGCAGCTGTAATAGTAATAGTAGCAGTATCACTACTACTGTTACTCCAACAACTAATAATAATATAAATAATTATAATTATTATAATATTTTTTATAACATTATTAATAATATATTCTGGTATCGACATTCCAGAAAACCGTCATTCGTTAGGACCGCCAACGTCATGCATGGTCGATAGATTCACCGGTGGTAGCCATGGCTTCAATAAGTAAACAGACGCTTGTTTATGTAGTGACGGTAGTATATTGTATATGTGTGTGCATGCGTTCCTACGTGTGTGTATGTGTGTGTGTATGTGTGTGTATATGTGTGTGTCTGTGTGAGTGAGTGTGTGTGTCTGTGTGAGTGAGTGTGTGTGTCTGTGTGTGAGTGTCTGAATATTAACGGATCCGGATTGTAACAAAAACACGCAAGCTCATATGATGGGAATAAACACGGATATATATGTTTTTTTTTATATTTATAGTACAGTATGGAAGAGTGAGTGTATAATTAAATGCCACTCACACATACAAACACACATGTATACACACGCACAACACACACACACACACACTTAGGTATGATTTATATGTCGTTTTTTTCACATCAAAATGAGATACCGACAATCCTCACGTAATTTGTGACTAAAGCCAGTAAAAAATTAACAATTGATATGTAATAACAAGATGATGACACATTATTCAACCGGATGGTGACGACGACGATGGTGATGACGTTCAATAACTTGGCGTGATGATTATAATGGCGATAATGATGATGATGATGAGTTGATGATAATGGATGAGATGCATATACTTATGACGTCACAGAATGACGTATTATTTTAGTGTTGATGTCAAATCGGTAGAATGACATAAGGAAGCGGCCATTTGTATCTTAAAAATATTTTTAAGTATTTATTTATATTTATAAGTCATTTTCATTGATAAATTAACATTAAATTTTAAACTGCTAGAAGGTGCATGGACCTGTATGCGAATAAAAAAAACTCCTAGCGAATATTACGTCATCACAACATAATTAATTATAGCGACTTAATAATAATAACTAAACTATAATAACAAAACTATAATAACTAAACTATAATAACTAAATTATATTACGTCATCATTCGTCATCAACTATTTATAATCTTCTGGGAGGAGTTTTTTTTCTCAAATAATTTCTTCAATCTCTCGCTAGATGGAAGTTTGTGTTGCCGGATCAACGTTTATCCTGATCCCATTCCGGCTGTCCGCATCTGATGAGGTTGACATCTGTCGGAGGGATATGTCGTTTCATATTTATTATTAGGTGGTAATAATTAGTTATTCAATGAGATAATTTAATTAAAGGTTATTAATTATAAGCACGCATATTAATCTGTAATCCGAACATATTCCAGTAGCTAATATAATGAAGCTCCGTATCTGAAATCTGCATTCTATATTTTAATATCGAAACTTTGTCAAATTTGTCAACCGCAATGCCAGCAACAGCATCATCCAAGACATCGCCACCATCATCGTCATCTTGATCATCACTACATCATCACCGTCATTCATTCACGTACATCTTCATTATCACATCCTTGTCCAGCGTTGGTGGCTTCATCTTCATCTCTTCTCTAAATCATTTGTTTAATTTCAATTTATTTCAATATAATTCAATTTGATTTAATTTAATTTAAATCGGTTTTATTTATTTTCCATTTTCTTATAAAAAAAACTTATATATTTGTGTCGATATACAAAAGTACTCTTTTTTATATTGCTATAAAATTACCCAACAACACTTTTCGAATTCATTGTAAATAAGATCAGACATAAGACAGCCTGTTAAGCAAAAAATGTTGGCACCAACACCTAACAACAAGATAGAAATCATGAACATCAGCGTCAACAGAAACAGTTAACACAACAATTAAACCGAAATAACACGAAACAAACATTAACATAGCAGCTAACACAACATAAACGATTAGAATTTTTTTCCACAACTTACGCTCCTCCAGATAAGAATAACAAATATAAGATGGAAGAAGATATAGACAGAGCTGAGTATGCCCAATGCGATTCTGTCAATCATGATGCATGTGGCACCTGGTGGCCTTGTTGACAAACACTTAGTGGCAACGTTATTGTTATTGTAATTATTGTCGCCATCGTAGTCGCTACTATTGCTGTTAGGTGGCGCTGCTGTTGTCGTTACTGCTGCTGCTGTTGTTATGCAGTTTTGGGAAGATCTGATAATTTTGAATGGTTGGTTGGTGTTAAGTTATTGAATTAAGTTAGTCACTCAATCTAGAGTTGCTAACACGCACGATATCTTCCTTCTCTAGTCTCTCTCTCTCTCTTTTTCTCTTTCCTCTTTCTGTGTCTTTTTCTTTCTCTCTTTCCCTCTCCTTCTCTAACTCATTTTTTCTTTCCTCACTCAGTCTATTCTCAGCATAAGAACATTAAGCCTGATTAGCATTAAAAACCATTCCTAGATCTGAGACCACAAACCTATTCTCGTCAACTGAAAAGTGATCCACCGACTGCAGAATTGTAGTTTTACTAGCAACATTAACCATTGAACTGTCTGTTGTTGTTTTTGTGGCGGTGACAGCAGCCACAGTTGCGTTTTGTGAAGCCGTGGTTAGCGGTTGAACGTAAATGCAGTTGGTAATGTTGTTGTTGTTGTTGGCGTTGCCCTTGGGTAGGTTGGGGTAGATGACCGACCCGACGAGGGCATGCCAGATGCAGATGCAACACAAGATGACCATCGAACCCAAGATGTATTTGTCCTAACAGCAGTGTTGGCGATGGTAGGTTGTTGCAATGCATCAACAAATAATTGCTCCGATGTTTGAAAATATTCACTTCAATTAATTATATCAATTATAACGAGATAACAAGAACAGACGACACAAAAATATTGTACAGAGGCGACAAAACTATATAGAAGACATAAATTATCACCTTCCTATCAACAATAACATTCAAAATATCACGACCGAACTACAAAAAAGTCACGCAAACTCTCCTAAAACTTCACCAACCAAATAAGTCAGATAGGAAATCTTGGGCAGACTCTTATTAACAACAAACTTAAAAGTGACAGTGGTAAGAAGAAGCAGGTAGGTCAGCTGCAGACGAAAGTGAGGCGTCTCGAGGCTAACGGTGAAGGTAGCAAAGGCCAGGCTGCAGATGGCCATCTGGTGAATTTTTTATGTTAATTTGGACAGTTAAAGTTATGAATTTGAGCTGTTTTAATTTCCGTCTCAAAAATAAAAATATATAACTATTAAAAAATTGTAATTTGTTAAAAATTTGAGAATATCCATGGAGTCAGGTACCATGATGACGATGATGTTCCAGATGAAGAACTGTGGCCTCCTGCTTGCCTTCGCTGCAACACTTAGACCTGGAAAGTCCACGAGCACTTTGTTGATCGTTTTTGAGACTGTTCTGTTCCAGCACAATTTCTTACATTATTTACTCATTACAATTTCTTAATTTATTATCTCGTTATTTACAATTTAATAATTATTTTTCATGATTAATTGATGAATGTCCCCCGCCAACGTACCTTCTCCAGGTCGAGACATTCTGCTCCAATGACCATTCCTGTTCCGCACTGAATGCCTGGGCGTTTATACCACACCTGGACAATTTTTAGGGAGGTAGTTATGGAGGAGGGGGGGGGGGTAGTTATATGAATCATCACGTGATTTTTGTATTTGTTTCGAGTGAAAATTTTAAATATCACGTGACGTTTTTACGGAAAACTTGAAAATTTTGTTTCGTTTTGCACTTCGTGATGTTGATTGACAAAAGGTGTAAATAAATCGTCACAATTATTTATTTTTTTAATAAATAAAATTTAAAAATAAATAAATAAATTATGTACAAATGAGTTTTTAAAATGTATATATAATATAATGAATAATCGCACGAATGTTATATTTATTTATTCACGTGCTAACTTTTCAAGTTGGTCGAGACTTAGGTCAATCATATCAACTGACAGTTCGCTGACCACGGTCACCGTTAAATCCTACAAAATAAAATTATTTTATATTTATAATTTATATATTTTTAAGTTTTAAAATTTAACTGGTGATTTAATTAATTGTAATGTAATCTTTGCTATAGGTCTTTCAATCTTTCGTCAAGTCATTAATTAACGTATCGTTCATTGACTTGCTTATTCAGTAATCCAGTGAGCTAACCATGTTATATTCAATTTTTCAATTTTATTATTATTATTTATTTGTCAATCAAACAGTCGGCCAGCCAGTCAATTGGTTATTCATTCGTTCGCTCATTCGTTCGTTCTTTCGTTCGTTCGTTCGTTCTCGTTCGTTCATTCATTTATTCATTTCCTTAACCAATCAAATTTCCAATAAACCAACTTGATAATCAAAAGGAAATTGATTGAGTTCCATGAATTCGAAGAATGACCCATTGACCCTTCTGATCTCAACGACGGTGGCAAGGTGGTCTCGGTCAAAGGTCACGTTGTACGTCACACTCACTTTTGGGTCACCTTGACATTTTTATTTTTATTATTTTATCTATTGTTCTGTTAGCTAGTGAAAGAAAAATTGTAAAAAAATTAAAAATTGTACCTAAACCGACATATTTCTGCTTTTAGCTCAAACATTAACAATTTCTCCCCAATTACACAGCCCATCTGTGAAATCTGCGCCAACTGAGCAAACACTAACATAAAACTTGAATGTGTGATTGATTTACATTAAATTTATTTCTCTTTTCCAGACCTACCAAAGCCATAGTTGAGTCAAACTTTCAAGTTTTTTTTTCAAAGTTTTTGTGAAAAAATGTAAAATATTATATGAAGGGTACATGTGTACACGCGTGTTCAATTAATCATTTAATTAATTAATTAATTTAGAAAATTACTGACCAATTATATTTTCAACGAAAAGCCTCGGATTCCAGTAGGAGCTAAAATCAATGTTCTTACATGACACCTGTGATTGGACGTTGTCGCGATGACGTCAGAGTGTAGCGTGAATGTTATTGGTTAGGATTGATGGTAAGGATTAATAATAATGATACTAATACCAATTTATTGATTGAAAATTCCAATTCATTTGATAATATAACTATAAAAAGATCAACATTCACATAGGCATTTAAATCTTTATGCACACGCACGCACATACACACGCACGCACATACACACATACAAATGCACATGTACGCACGCACACATGAAGTAACGAATGCCACACAAATTAGCTATACAAACTGCATCCATCCCATCCATGTAAATATGTTGGCTTGCACTGACCTAACACAAACTTGCACACACACATACACACACACCCATACAAATACAAACACACACACCTACACGCATACAAACACACTCACACACACACACGAAAAGGCAATTAAGTTAATGAAGCCAAACCAAACGGACTGAGAAAATTAACAGCAGGTGTAAGATGACAATGATGTTGGCGATGATGATCACAACGATGATTTTAATGATGATTTTGATGATGATGTCACGATGATTATCATTTTATAATAACATGTTTTTTGTCGTCCAAAGCAGGCTCCCGCCATTTTGATTCAATAAGTACTTCCGCCGAGTACCTATGACGATGACGTCATCATCAGAAATTATTTTTTAAAATTCTTTAATTATTACTTAATAATAATGTTCATTGTTGTTATTTAATAATTCAAATAAAAATAAATTCTACTAAATAAATTTTATTTTAATTTGACTATGTTGGTTGATTGAACTGGTATGTTAGTTCAGAAGCGTATCCATAAATTTGATTTCTGGACCTTATTGTTCGTCTGACAATCATTTTAACAAGAAAGAGTAAGCTAGATTATTAAAAAACAAATTTTTTCCTATATTATGATTATGAAAATTTTGTGAGTGGAAAAGGATTGCAACCCTGAACCCTCCCCCCCCGTGGCCAAACCACAGCTGACCTGTCGTGTATGGTGTCAATGACACCGATCTTCATGAAAACAACCCTCAGTTTGACGATTTTCTGGATAGATGGTTGATCGGTTGGTTGGTTTGGTCGGTCGGTTGAGTGGTTGATTGATTGATTAATTGGTTGGTTGATTGATTGATTGGCTGGTTGGTTAGTTACTTGGTTATTAAATATTAAAGTTAGTTTCATCATCGTGGTGATGATAAAAAAAAGTTCATTGTCGCCACCACCATCATCATCGTTCTCATCATCACTCTCATCATCATCATCATCATCATCACTCTCATCATCATCATCATCATCGCAAATAACCGACGTGAACCGACTTTCTCCGAGGATCGCTCCTTAAACTTCCCATTCGGGATCTCGACAAATCCCACCGACGATCTCGTGTTTCTGCGCATCCGTGATCTGCTGCCATACTGCGGAGTCAGTCCGAATGCTTTTTGGTGGATTAATTAACGTCATCGTCAGCGTCATCAATGGTAATGAGGTGGTGTAATGGTTAGAGGCGCCTCAATTTTCTGCTGCAGTCACCGGGTTCGATTTCAAATGAATGCTCGTGTAATTAGTAAAGTAGAATTAGTAACTTGTATGAAATGCTATTCGTTTATTGTATCGCTATGGCTGAATAGTTAGAAGGATAGGATAGGATAGTTAGCTTGTTCACTACAAAGAGAGATCCATGTCTTTTCTTGGAATATGTCAGATCAAATGTAAATGTTGTGCTATAATATAATTCAATCAAATAATAAACTGTAATAATTTAATTATAATAAGAATGAAATTTGTACATGGATCTTCCATGATGTCTTCTTCCATAATGTTCTTGTCATTATTTCTTTCGCTGCTACCACTAATGTTGTTGTTGTTGTTTTGAAGTTGTTGCTGCTGCAGAGTCAACTCGATCGACGACTTGGAACTATCCTTCCTCTGAATTTCAGGATGCTGGTGGTTGGAAAACCTGGAAAAATTCACTTCAATGTTCTTCCCGTTAATTTTGTTGCTACCCTTAACGCTACTATTGCTGCTGGGCAGTTTGTTGTTGCTGCTGTTGTTGAGTGAATCGTCCAGGTTGATGTTGTTCTGGCTGGCGTACCATTCACACATCGTGATGAGGTGGGCCTTCAGAGCAGCGTCCAGCGATCTGACGGCTGACGTGAGGTCCTGAGGTTTGAAGCTGAGGTCCAAGTCGGTCGAATTGCTGTCAAAGTCGTCGTCGCTGTTGTTATTGTTGTTGATGGTGGTGGTGGCGCTGATGTTGTTGTTGTTGTTATTAATGTTATTAGCGCTGTTGTGAATGTTGAAGAGTTTGTTGATGTCTTCAACTTTGTTGCTCGAGTTGATCATATTTTTTTGGGATCTCTTAATAGGGTAAGTTAAAAACTCTTTAAAATGTCGCGTGATGCATTCTTTAATGTAATATTTATCTTTAGAAACAAGTATGAACAACAATAGCGAGAATGATAAAAAAATAAATTGACGATTCAACATCAAATTACAAGTAAATGATTCTCTTTTATATATCTTTCCCTGGCCTTCTGGGTGGGTATTTATATAATTTAATACATGCGTGTAGCGAAGTGCTTGTATGACTGTGTGTTTGTATGTACGTTTGTATGTATGCATAATATACTATTTGTATGTATGCATGTACGTATGTGTATCTGTATATGTGTACATCTTCAATGCTTGTACTCGAGATGTGGAGTAACACTCAGGTATATATGCCTGACAAATAACACTGATAATCACTTTTTAACATTGTAAGTAATTAATTGGAAGTTTTCTATAATTTTTAATCAATAAGTTTGTAACAATTTCTGTCTATTATAGTAAACATTAATGTTGTGCTGTATTGTGATGATGCCTTTGTAGATCATAACTCATTGAATAGGCAGTGAAATGTGTGTAGGGTTTGAACTGGATCCATCCGGCTGGATGCTGTTGATATGGAAGTGTTTGCGTCATTTTATCCTAATTTTGACTCTTGAGTCATAAATATTCTTTTTTTAGCAATTATTCGGGGATCCCTTGCATAAATTATAATAATTATGTGACGCCAACACTTCTCTTGTTATCAGTATAGTAATGTTTATAATGGGGCAATCACAATTTAAAATCACGTAAGATCGGTTATCAAGAAACTCAATCAAATCAACTATAATCAATCAGTAAATAATTTTAATAAATTTCATCGCAATATGTCTTCGTCGTTAAGTAATATTTTCGTTCATCGACAAAACTTTTAAGCCACGCCACATTTTGAGATTACTTTCATTTATATGACACCATATTGAAGGTAGTAGTAATCAAATAGAAGCTGACAGAATTGAAGTTGACTACAAAACGCCAGAACTTAGAAGCATTTCAACACGTAATTCAGTATGTGATTTTAACTCGTAAGCAATAAAAAATACCAAGACACTAATAAGTACTATTTACTCCTAATAATACTGAATAACGAGACTAGGTACCACATCAACTAATAAAAATAATCAGACATTAATTATCTTCACGGTCCACTGAAATTAAGAGATAAGAATAGTGAATCGATAAGCATTAGCCATGCTTCAGTTGAATGGGAATCTTAAAAGAGATAATGGATTGGGAGGAGGGAGCGGGGAACATCAAAATGGGAAATATTCGATCTTTAGTGCACCGCACTGCATTTGCGCCGCTTGCTCATCGGCGAACAAATTGTTTTCCAGGTGCTCATCAGGTGTTCCTGATTTCCATTCTTAAATTCTTAAAACTTGACTACAAATTGAATATTACTGGCTTGTTTTACTTGAAGATGTGAACCTCGGACGGCACTGCCTAGACGAACTGTGCCACATAAACAAACAGACGCATACTAACATACATAAAGAGAAAAACAGATGAGAGAAGAAGAGAAAGTGAAAGAGAGAAAGAAAGGAGAGAGTTGAAGAAAAGAAAGAAAGATAAGAGAAAACAAAAAAAATATGAAGAAATAAGCGAAAACAGATAATAGAAAAAAAAATATGATCGTTAAAGGAATGAATATAAAAATGGCAGGCGAGTTAACGAACGACGTAAGAGGAGCAAAAGACATCACGATGTGGACGACATGCATACATCACTGGCATCATCAGCTGCTGCACCTGTAGTACTCCAATTCAGGTGAGGGTGCATGCTTCTTTAAATTGAACTAATTAGTAAAAAAAATGTCTATGCATGGCTTGGCGTGCTTCACATCGAACGACTCGATAAATTTTTCCATTGTGGTTGAATGAATGCGAAGTCTTTAGAAAAAAAAAATATTAGAATGATGCGTTTTAGTTGTTGATTACATAACTAGTATTTTTTTTTATAAAGTGTGAAATTTTTGTGGTAATCATCATTCCTCGGAAAATAAAAATGCTGTCTTTCCAGTTTATTTCCGAATGTAAGGCAAATTTGCATTTGCTTTCTGGTTGGTAAACATGGATTATTCATTTTAAACAGTGCATTTTAATGTATCTTCAACAAATTTTGAAAAAAATCAATGAAATTTTACAATTATTTAAATAAAATTTCTTACTAAAAGAACTTATTTTATTGTTTTATTAAAAAAACGTCTCTAAAATATTTGATAAAATTAAAAAAAAATTTTCTGATAACGTGTGATGGAGTCGACAAGCGTCGAAAATATAAAAATGAGATAATACAAATTTACAAATATATTAAATAGATTAAAAAGATTAAGATCGTAAATTAAAACTTTAAAACCAAATAACACATTCGAAACATTTGCTGTTACACTTAGCACATATTTTTACACGCATGTGTCCAACTCGAGATAACGTGTAAAAAACAGCGGCCCAGTTACAGACCTTTTTGACAACAGAAGATAATGAAGTTTCCAATTTTGTGTCAAGGTAGACTTAAGAAAGATCGATATAGGTGAGTGGGGGTTGAAGGTTCCCAGGAATCGTGTCCACAAAATATTTTTTCTTCCTTTTATTTATTTCACGGCAGAAATCAAAAAACACAATTAACAACTCATCAATCATTTTCTGAATGAATGAGGTCTAAAGCTTGAAACGTTTTTAAGTTTAGTTGTGTGTGTGTGTTTGTGTGTGTGTGTGTGTGTGGACTGCATGTGCATTTTTCAAAATTTTCAAACAGTATTTTTACCAAGACTAGAAGAATAAAAATAATGAAAACACAGTAAAAAAAAACAAAAGTTATTTATTATCGTACAAAGCCAAATTAACGGAAGAGTTTTATGATTATATAAACAAAAATGTTGCCTCGCTCGTGTATGGTGTTCAACTGATGAACGGATGCTCGCTTCGTCTGTCAGAGTCTCATTTTTTAAAGAAAAAGCTCTGCACACACGTAGGTAGCAGTAACATTTTACTGGACTACTTGCATGCAAAATTATTGCACATCGCAATATTTTCCCATAAGGACTATAACTAAATAGGAGGAGATGTATAACAAATTAAATTCTTTCTGAAGTTTACATTTTTAAACAAAAATTTAAACATTATTAAATCATTTCATAAAACTCCTCCAACTCAAAATTAACAACGCAGACAAGTTTGTTATAAGAAATTAGAAAAATATTTTGATATGAATAAACTATCCATTCATGGACCATTCGGAAAAATAAATCACAGGACATAGAGATTAAATAGACACGACTAAGGCAAAGAACAAAAAATATTTTATTGCAAACCATGTAAACAAACAATATTTGCTGTTAAATGCATTTCCTCACCATATAAAACATGCAATTTCCTAAATGTGTTTTCGTTCGTTTGCACTGAAGCATTTGAATAACAATCATTCAGATGTTACACACTTTCATTTTAGACAGTTTCAAAAAATGCATACGCCTAATAGTTAACTACGTTCCATGCGACATAAGCAAAAATAAAATCAGATAATTTTTTACAAATAAGACAAATAAGAAAGAAAAAAATGCTTGCAAGTGGGTGATTGATCGTTTGTTCCTGGTCAGTTCTGATAAATTTAAAGCAAATATGAATATAGTAATAGTTTCGTAAGTGGAGTTCTAATAATACTGCATTGGACATTACTCTCTACATCTCACTCTCCTTATTATTATTATTATTATTATTATTATTATTATTTATCTTCTCTCCTTCTCTTATCCTCTTTTTCATTTTTTTTAATAGCACATTAATTTTCCTAAACATATAAATAAATATAACGTTAAACACATGTTTCTTTTTATAAAAAATATATGAAGCAAAATACGGCAACAACAGACTATCATCACCATCATCACCATCCATCATCATCAACATCATCATCGCCATCCATCATCATCATCGCCATCCCTCTATCATCATAATCCCATCATCATCAGCAGTAACAGCATTAGCAGCAACATCGTCATTGTTGTAGTTGATGTGAGCCTTTCGATCGTGCCATCCTCTCCATGTGTAGGTAGAAGAGGTGCTTGTTGATGTTGTAGTAGCAGGGATTCTCCTCCTCACTCAGTTCAGGTTGGTAGTGCTGCCCTGTGAAGTAGTTGGCAGCCGGCTGTGGCACTGACGACGAGGACGACGGGGTGGCGACTGCAGGAGCTGCAGCTGCTGGAATGATGTGGTCGTTCATGGCATTGTTGCTCATGTTTGCTGCATTGATGTATGGGTGTGGGTACAAGTTAGCAGGGGCATATGATGGGTGGGGTTCAGGTGACGCCATGATGGATGGGTTGCTGTCCCCTGAGAAATGGGCCTGTGGAAGATTTTGGTCGAAGTAATTTGGTAAATAGAATTTATTCAATGAAATTTATTAGGTAAAATTTATATCATGAAGAATTTATTAAAATTAAAAAATTTGGCAGCATATTATAAATTACAAGCCTGCTTTTAGAGTTCTACTCTTAAATATCAAGTATTATTATTTATTACTACTCACTTTTAAAACGGGAAATTGGTGCATTGAATGACATAATGCTTAATCAGCTGGGTAACACATCGGCATCGAATAGGTAAGTAATTATTAAATTCAAATTATGAATTAATCATACAATTGAATGCTAATTACCTCAATGCAGTTGACTGGATTGCATGCGTTTTCAGAAGAAGCACCTCTAAAAATATTATATTAATAATTAATTATTCATAAATGACATGAAAATAAGAATTAATTGCTGAGTTAAAACAATTTAAAAAATGACTAAATAAGTTATATATATGAATAAACATTACAATAGTTATGAAACCATGCCATTAAAATAACTATGGACAAATCTGAATATGTAATTATATGTTATTATGTTACTTTTCAACACAATTATGAATGAAATTCCTGAATCATAGTCCATAGCGTAGATGCAGACAAAAAATAAGACCTACTCAATGTGAAGTTTGAGAATCTTTCTTGAAATTGGGCTTGACACATCTCCAGGGTCTATGTCCACGGGTCGCTTCTTTCTCCTAGCAATTGATTTATAAAAATTAGGTAAATTAATGTTAAATTATTACTTTATTATTAAAAAGTATAAAATATTTTTCCTAATTTCTAATAAAAAAAATTAAAATAAAATAAACAATTTTCTAAAATAAATCTATCAAAACTTACGGCATTTTCCACTGGCAACAATTTGAAATTTTATCAATTTGTTTCGCAAGACAAAAAAAGTGCTAACTTCACGCACCGAACTAATTTTTTAAAAAGTTTCAATAATTAAAAATAATCTGCTAAAAAAATTGAAGTACAGTACACTGTACAATTAATCAACTAATCAAAATATATAAATCTGAACCTTAGCAAATCATTTGCACGGTGTTGTAATTAATATAAAAATAAAAAATCTGCCTAATTAAATTGTGCGTTCGTTCAGACCTCATCCGATTCACCAAACAAAAAAAAACAGCCGCAAAAAGATGAGATTGTTTACATTGGACAGCTGCGTCATTTTTAAAATTGCATTCAGTGTGAAAGTGCGTTTTGTTCATTAATAAATTAATTGAGAATGACATGCAAATGTTGGTGTTTTTGGGAAGGAATGACTTGAACTGATACCAAAACATTTGTTTGTAAAAAATTATATAAATTAAAAAAAGAAAGTTGCTAATAAATGTTGACTGCTAATGGCATACGCCTCCAGGTCTATGTTAAATTTACGTGTTGTAGTTCAATTCCTATACATAAATTTTGTGATTTGTGTATGGAAATCCTAGCAAGGGGAGGCCTATTTACCAGCATACAACACCTTCTTATGGATTGAAGCAGAGATATGCAAAGAACTTCAATTTTTTCAACTTTTAATTATTTTCAGTAATGTTTCCCCTTGCTCCAAACCACATAACTAGAATAATAGGACTAATCGATCAATTCGATCTATCGGTCGGGCTATTTGTCGTGCTTGGATTGTTGGCTTACGAAATTGCATGGATTTTAACGAGCAAGCTAAATGAGATATTTACTTGATTTAATATGCTTAAAACATTGTAGTAATTCTATTTAATTTTAATAATGATTAATAGAATTATGTATTATTAAATTATTTTTGTTAATTTGAATATAAAAATTGCTTTTGGTCCGGTGAAATCCGGTGGCTTACTGAAGCCGAAGGTTGGCTTAGTAGGATTGAACTATAGTCACCCTTTTTTTTACACTATTCGATCATGTTAAAAATTGGTTTGCTTATGAAATAAACGGCCTAAATAAATCAAAATTGTTATTTGAACAACTATCTTCATTATATTCAATGAATATTTTACATTCAGCTGGTGCTCATAAGAAACTGGCTGCTGAAATCATACGTTGGCTTACAGCAGTGGCTTACAGGGTTTCATAGAACTCTTACGATAGCACTTTTTTGTACATATAATGCTTTAAATAAATCAATATATTCATATCACAATTATTTTTGTCAATATAAATATAGAAATTGCTTTTGTCAGGTGAAAAACAGTGGCTTACTGAAGCCGTAGGTTGGCTTAATCGGATTTTTTCTCATGTATACAATACTATGAGATAAATCAATCAAACAATCAAACAATCAGTCAGTCAGTCGGTCGGTCGATCAGCCAGCCAGCCATATATGTATATATATATATATATATATATATATAAAGAAAGAGAGAGAGAATGAGACAAGGGGTATGCGTAAAAAATAACGTTTCAATAAATAGATAAAAATATACAATACACATACACGCACACACAAACACACAAACAAACTCACACACACATACACACACACACACACACATATATATATATATATATATATATAAAACGCTTGTATTAAAAGAATGCAAGCTTTTGAAATGCATAATGAGAACAACTATTTTTATTTCGTTGTTGTTGTTGTAATTATTATTATATTGTTGTTATTGTTATTCGTTGATGATGGTTGTGATAATGATGATCGTCATCATAGTTAACAAGATTAACAGTATAACATACTTAAAATACATTGACAGAAATGACATGAATGTTTATTGTTCTGCGTATATATGATGGCAGTATGTATGTATGCGTGTATGTATGTTTGTATGTATGTGTGTCTGTGTCTCTTTATGTGTACATGTTTGTATTCGAGATTTTTGTAAGAAAAGAAAAACACAACAGTTGGTTTTATTTGACATCATCAAAAGATGAAAAGTGACGAAATTAAAGTTTGTTAAATGTCAATTTTTTAAAAAGTTCAGATTTTAAACAAACAAATATAACAAAATATCGATCAATAAAAAATAATTATCACGAAACATGAATATTTAGTAAGGACAGTTCACAGCATATCATAATGACTAAATCAACATACAACAACAACAATACACGTTTAGACGACATTTTCCCCGAGATCGGGGGTTGCCGTTTGGCTACCTATGATGAAACCGAAATACCCCTCGACGCCATTCCATCATAAGTAATTTATTTGGCTAATTTTTACGCAGGATGCCCTTCCTTACGCAACCACAGTTATAAGCGGTGGGCCTAGCCTTTGATGATCCAACATCACTCACAAGGCAGTGAGGGTCAGTTTAATGTCATAACCAGGACATCAATGACTATGACTAAATAAACATACCAAACAGAAATTATTCATGCATGCATATATACAAAGTAAATCAGGAAATATCCAAAAACTATATAACGAAAATAAAAAACTAGAAACCAGTCAACATTTTACAAATAAATAAATAGACATTATTAAAAAGATTGTTCAAAAATGGTAACATTTGAGGCGACGACAAAAAAAATTGTAGTTTGTTTTGTTGGTGTTGTGTGGTGCTAAGAAGCGAAAACAAACACACCACAAAAAAAAATATTAAAAAGTCGCAAGAATAGTAGTCAGTCACCTACCTACAACTAAATTACTCTCAGGGCCCTAGCTTACCTGTAATGATAACTCAACTCATTTATTTTACATATTTTAACGTTTTAATTTTACTTGAAGCTTTTAATTTATGTTAATGTTAATATTTTACTTGAAACTTTTTAACTTATGTTAAGCCCTAGCCTACCTACAGTTGTTCAACTCATCTCAATCCCTAACTTACCTATGAATTAAATTAAGTCCGGTAAAGAAAATAGAAAGTTGAAGAGAAACATAACAACAACGACACCGAATGAATGGATGTTGTGTATGTGTGTGTTGTATTTATGTGTGTGCGTGTATGTAAATGTGCGCGCGCGTACCCTCCAGAAACTTCTTCACCCACTAAGGACGAACCTCCATTGCACCGACCATCATCTGACACGCACCGAGGAAATGAATTTTACCGGATACTGAAAAACAGAATTGAAAGAAAAAGTTAATTTTTTTAAATAAAAAACAAGCCATTGAAAAAAAGTAAGAAGCAACTTATCTTACCATGAGATTACCATCATGAAAGGTGCTGACTCCCACCACAACCCACCTCTGATCATTCTGTAGACAAAATTTTTTATTGGCTTAGTAGTAAATGAATGTTAAAACGAAAGAACAAACGAATAAATGATTGAGCGAATGATTGAGTGATTGAATGAATTAATTAAACAATCTATGATTCAATGAATGAATAGAATGAGTCAATTAATGGATAAATGAAAGATTGTGTGACAAAATGAATGAAAAAAATAAAAACAACGAAACTAAACCATACTTCAAAAATCGTCGTTGTTGTTTTCTTCGAGTTGTTATCGGAACGATCATCATGAGACCACCATCTGAGACGTGCTGACGCCCACCACTGCCCACCTCTCATCAGTCTGTAGACAAGTTATTTTTATTAGCTTAGTAGTAAATGAATGTTAGAATCTTAGAAGCAAAAATTATAAAATGGAAATAATGGCAAATAAATAATATTTGAAAATAATAAAGAGAGTAAAATGTAAAAAAACTTACCGTCGTCCATTCGACAAAGGCAAAATGATGAGTGCCTTCCGTTTCCTGCGTTGTCCTCCAAAACTGGTGCCAGTCCTCCTCGAGATTGTTGTTGAAACACAGCCCATGGAATGGAGAAAGAGAAAATTCTCATTAGAAAGCTTAGCGGTGCCTGCATCTTAAATTGCTTAATAAAAATAATTCTATCTACCTATTCAATTACCTTAACTAATCTATAATAAATTGTTAATGGTACGATAGTCGAAAGTTCCCCTTCATTCTCCCTCCTTGCACAGAGGTTTACCGACAGCCAGGGCACCGGATAGTAAACCATTGCCGTGCGGATAGTAGACTACTGCCTTGCGGATAGTAAACCATTTGCCGTCCGGAAGCCGTGCGGGTAGTAGACTATGGCCATGCCGCATAGTAAATCATTACCGTGCAGATAGTAAACCATTGCCGTCCGGATAGTAAACCATTGCCGATTCACCACTGGCCGCCAAGGCTTACCTCTGACAAGAGACTTCGAAATTCAGAGTCTATCGGCTATCGTACCCTCAACTTACCTATTCATTACAATTAAGCCCTAGCTTACCTAAAATTACAAAACTCAAGAGCCCAATTCATTGGCCTTTCGGCACCCACCCCACCACCTACGTAATGCCTTGGGCTCCAACTTAGTAATAATAATATAAAACTTAAACCCTAAATCTATTAATGAGTATGTGTTACAACGTAGCCTTAGCCTACCTATTCATTACATTACGGTCCTAGCTTACCTAAAATTACAAAACTCAAGAGCCCAATTCATTGGCCTTTCGGCACCCACCCCACCACCTACGTAATGCCTTGGGCTCCAACTTAAAAATGATAATGTAAAACTTAACAATTAACCTACCTATCGATACACTTACAGCGTTTTAATTTACATTACAAGATTTTTCCTAGAATTACATTATTGCTTTTAACTACCTATGAAATTAAATTACTCTCAACCTTAGTAATAATAAATTAGAATGTGTAATGAAAATAAAATTACGCTCAAATACTAACATATGTGTTTATGTATGTATTTGTGTGTGTGTGTGTGTGTGTGTAATACGCTGGTGCGTGTAATGTGGGTGCAAGATAAAATAGAAGAGATAAACTTACGCTGCCTACCTATTCAACTACATTAGTGTTGGATGCTCCCTATCTATCCTACCTACAATTAAAATTAGGCCTATCTAACCTACCTATATAGCTACTTAATGTAATTGTGTATGC